ACCAGGCCCCGGACTTGAACTGTAGTCAGCCATGTGGAGTCCAGCACCTTAACCATCATGCCACCTGCTGGTCCCTAGCATGTTTCTCTAGCTGTTGGATCCAGGACTCAATCTGTGCAGTTGGCCTTATGGGATCTTGCTGCCTTAATCATGAGGCCATGGAGCCAACTCAAATAAAAATTTTTTTTAAGTTTTTGGGAGCCTGCAGGTGGTCAAGGGTTCTGGACTCCCACATGGCCTACTGCGGTTCGAGTCCCAGACCTGGCGGCTTGCTTTCTCACTTTCCTCTCTCTTTCTCTCGCTCTCACTCTCACTCTGCCCCTCTCTGGTCAAATTAAAATAAGTAAATAAATAAATAAAGCTAAATAATATAATTCTTAAATTGTTTTAAAGTTTTGTTTTACTTTATGACATTTTATTTCTCTTTTTGTTAAGAATTATTTTATCTAACTTTATTTATTATTATTATTTTAATATTTCCAGAGAGAGAGAAAGTGAGAAAGTAACCCTTCAGATCTAGGACTCAAACCATGGTTAGCCATGTGGGAGTTCAATGCTTTTAAACACCATGCCACCTGCTGACCCCACCCCAGCCTTTTTTTTTTGCCAGAGAGTGCATGTGTTCATGGGGAGGGAGCACCTCCCACTGGAGCATGGTTGTAGCACAGTCATTTCTCCATCGTGTTGGGATTTGGGGCATGCACACATGTGTGGTTGCCATAGTTATCAAGTCTCTTGGCCCTGGATTAAAACCTTGTGGTTAGTGGGTCTAGCAGGTGGCATGGTGATTAAAGCCCTGGACACTCCCACATAGCCAATGACAGTTCAAGTCCTAGACCTGGTGGCTTGCTTCCTCACTTTCTCACTTTCTCTCTCTCGCTTTTGCACCCTCTCTCTGGTGAGCATACATGCTCTGTAGCAAATTTTAAAATAATAATAATGGGACCCGCAGATGGCATAATGGTTACATTGCTGGACTCTCACATGGTTGACCACAGTTTGTGTCCTGGATCTAGCGGCTTCAAACTCATGCCAGGCGTGTGTGCATGCATGCTCAAAATCCCAGGAGGAGAATGGAGGAGAAGGATTGTGGCATCCCCCTCCCTGGGGGATGATTTCTCTTTCTGTCTCTCTGCCTCTCCAGCCAGCTCACACTCCCTATAGCAAAAATCTCTCTTTTAAAAATGATAATAATGAGACCAGAAGTTGGCATAATGGCTATGTTGCTGGACTCCCATGTAGTTGACTGCTGTTTGAGTCCCGGACCAAGTGGCTTAAACTCACACCAGGTGCATGTGTGTGCATGCCCAAGATCCTGAGAGGAGAATAGAGGAGAAGGGATTGTGGAGTGGCCATCCCCCCTGGGGGTGATTTCTCACTTTCTGTCTCTCTGTCTCTCTCTCTGTCTTTCTGGTGAGCACATGCGCCCTATACCAAAAACCTCTCCAAAAAAAAAAAAAAAAGATAATAATAATGATAAATAAAATTAAATATTTTTTAAAAATGGATATAGGTTGCATGTGCTTGCTGGAAGCAGAGAGAGAGAGTGAAAATGAGAAATAACCCTCCCTGGGGGACATGGCCATGCTGCAATCCATCCTCCTCCATTCCCTTCTGAGGATTTTGGCCATGCATGTACATGCACCTGGTGCATTTTTCATGGTATCAGGTCTGGGATTCCAACTTTGTAGACAGTCATGTGGGATCCAGCTGCCTAACTACCATGCCACCAGCCAGCACTACTTCGTACATTTTCTGAAGCTTCCCTTTTGTTATGCACATTCAAATTTCTATCATTTTCCTTCGCTGTAAAAAACTGATAGTATTTTTTTCCAAGGCAGATCTACTCACTATA